TACTACCAGTCTATTTTATAAATAATTAAGTACGATTAAGACACAAAGCTTTTTTTCTTCTGGAGACTGCACTTAATTTTTGCCTATTATTTTGGACTGAAGTAGCTACAAGTTTTACTAGTAAGGGATTGAGTCAAAAGTGCTCAACAATTTTCTGGCTTGCTTGGTGCAAGACAAGTATGAAAACATGTCATCAAAAATTGAAGATTTGCCTACCCAAAGCAATCTTGGAGTACTCCAAACACTGCCGAATTTGGGCTGGGAAACTACATGAGGCTTTATTGGAGAAAATGATATATTACAAAGTTAAGTAGCAGCTCCAAAATTGTATTTATTTGGAGTCATGCCTTGTAAACATTCTTAGAAAACAAAAATTGAGGATGATTGCAAATCAGTTATTTATCTCCACTGTGCACCCCCCCCCATTAAAGGTATATAGTCTTGGAGAATTCAATATGGGATGAGATGCTTTGGACTATTTGGTGAGAACTGAACTGCTGTTAAGCAAGTTAAATTCCAACCAATTAGAGTAAATCCCATTTCCTAATTCTCATAGAAGCTTTGGGGAAGGGGAAAGAACCCAGCAATTGTAGGGGATGGCATTGGAAATTTTCCTTCTATGTACTCATCTTACAATACAAGCCATTGTTTGCTTCAGCTTACTATCATGACTATACTATGATAAGATTTAAGGTAGACAAATTCAAAGGAAGGAATGGAAAAGAAAAAGTCAGTTATTCTTTCTTTCTCATTTTACTATTGTTGGACTTCGTATCTTCCAAAGGATCTTGGAACAGATTTCAGCAAGCATTCAAAAGGCATAGAATGGAATGGAATGGAATGGAATGGAATAGAATAGAATAGAATAGAATAGAATAGAATAGAATAGAATAGAATAGAATAGAATAGAATAGAATAGAAGGGACCTTGGAGGTCTTCTAGTCTAGCCCCCTGCTCAAGCAGGAGAATCTATACCAGTGTTTCTCAACCTTGACAATTTTAAGGCATGTGGACTTCAATTCCCAGAATTCCACAACCAGCAATGCTGACTGTGGAATTCTGGGAGTTGAAGTCCACATGCCTTAAAATTGTCAAGGTTGAGAAACACTGATCTATACCATTTCAGACAAATAATTGGGACAAGTTTTCACCTGTATGAATTTAGAGTATATTATGATCTCTCCCCTTAAATTGTGCCTCACAATAGGATAGTGATCCTACAGTTTGTGGTCATGATGACTTTTCATATAGTTTCCTTGCCATTATAATGGGAAACCTTTCATAAGCTTTTGAGAAAATTCAGTTTAAAGAAGTGATTTTTACAACATTAAAGTCAATCTTAAAATAGTTTCAGACTGCCAAGTTTGTTGAATTTCTGTCATTGCCAGACATTATCTATCTGAAGAAAGAGGGTTTAAATCTTGAATTAGGCATTTATTAAATATAATAGCCAAGATAGTTGTACCACCCCTGCCTGGTTATACAAGGAGATAACTGAGGACTGTGATCGATACCTTCTGAGTGCTATCCCACAATCCATTTTCTTACTCAGCGCTCTAAAGTTTCAGCCAAATTACCTTCTCAAATCCCCACCTCTCAGACAGGGCAAGTTGGAGACAGCAAAAATTGTCATGGTTCATTTGGGTCTACCAATTGTTTCTTGAGAAGGAAGCACATTACAGTCTCCTTCAAGACAGGCACCAACCGCCTGTCACTCAGAGAGAATTGTCACACCACCTGGATTCAACCACACATTTTCTTCCTCACCAACCAGAAAGGTACATGGTGGCTGGGATAACAGACCCAAAAGATCAGTTTACTTCTTTTGGGAGTTATCACACTTTTCCCAGGAGTGTGGGAACAGGACCATGCCTTAGCCAACTGGACTGAATTTTTCCAGGCAGTCCAGCTCCAAGCAGATATGAGGGATTTTAACTGTCAGATGCCAAGAATATTCTTCACATTGGCTCTAAAGTGTTCTTGTAACTATCTCTCCCTATCAGATAAAAAGTTCATCTTAAAAGGGCCACTGCCAGCCATCTGTGAACAGCAGTAAAATAGATACATTTAGCCCCTCTTAATTGCCATGGTGTAATCCCTAACATAGGGGACGCAATGGCTCATCTGAGCTTGTTGGCTGGAAAGCTGACAGCATGGGTTCAAAATCCGAGTGCCATGCAACAGGGCGAGCTCCCATTTCTTGCCCCAGCTCCTGCCCACCTAACAGCTCAATAGCATGCAAATGTGAGTAGATAAATTGGTATCTTAGGTGGGAAGGTAACAGCATTCCATGGGCCTTGGCATATAGTCATGCTGGCCACATGATCATGGAAAGGATCTTCAGACAATGTTGGCTCCCTCAGCTAAGAAGAGATGAGTACCTAGAGTTGGAAATGACCAACCCTAAGCCTAACCCTAACCTAACATAGGCTCATACTACAGGCACCCAACTGGATTTACTGTTCATATTTCTCTATTATCGGTAGCACTTTAGAAGTTCTTGTGTTGTTTCATTTCTTGGGGATCACAGGGCCAAATGGGATCACTGAAGAGTAGAGACTAAATAGGGGCAACCCCCAGTCTAAGGTCTAGTTATACACCCATTCCAGCTGCCAATAATGCCTCAGTGAAACTGCCTACCAGTTCTTCAAGCTACGTCTGAAACTGATCAAGGTCCATTAGTTGCCTAGGGATAGACTGATCAAACAGGTCTAACTTCCCCCTGGTAAGTAGGGGACAGCATTAGCAAGCCAAACAGCAACCAGACTATAATGACTGAAACACCTCTGTCCTGGATTCATCAAAGGTAATTGACAACAACAAAGGACTGAAGATAAGGTTCTCCACCCTCAGCTCATATCACACCTGCCATAGGACAAAAATAAAAAAAAAATCCCAGATCTTATATGCAACCTCCTATGTGCATCAGGCATTCAGATCCATAGTTGCCATGGTGGTTATGAATTCCTGGGCCCTCCAGACCCTATATCATACAAGAGCATTTAAGCAATTCAAGCAGGGATGTCACTGCACAGTAAGGAAGATAATAAAAATCTGGAAACCAGTTTCAACCACAGAGCCCTCCAATTTTCTGCAGTGCAAAACTTTTGAAAGTGGTTACAGCCTTCTCAGGTGTCCCATCACTCCCTACCCTTGAGTCATTGCTGCTCCCAAACTCAAAACCCAAGTGAGCATATCTTATAGAATATAGAGGAACAGCTAGATAACAGGCCACTGGGGATCTAGTGATAGAGCTTCAAAAACAAATATTGGGGCAGAAATCAGGTTAAATCACAGACATCAACCATTTTCTCACCCACAAATTTATTTATTTATTTATGAGACTTATATACCGCTTTAAGTGTGAGCACTCTCTAAGCAGTGTACACCAGTAAGCAATGTATATATATATTTACATTGCCCCCAACAATCTGGGTCCTCATTTTACCTACCCCGGAAGGATGGAAGGCTGAGTCAACCTTGAGCCGGTGAGATTTGAACCGCTGACCTGCTGAACACAGTCAGCTAAAGTGGCCTGCAGTACTGCACTCTAACTGCTGCGCCACCTCGGCTCTTTGTGGTTGCCTTCTATCTTTCACCATTCTGATGTTACTGCCTGCCTCCCATCTCAGTCTCTCCCAAACCTTGCTCTCCTCCTCCCAGACCACGAGAACCTCCAACTTCACATTCCACTATACATCCAATTGCACACCCCATCTCCATTAGAACACAGCACCCCAAAAGCTGCTCCTGCTCAGGAATCACTAGGGAGACCCAGCTATTGTCATGTACTTAATCCCATAATCTATCTATCTCAACCCCGCTTGCTTCAAACTATCAGAGCCTTCTAAAGACACAATTCTGTTTCTAGCTCCCAATCCTCCAGTCTAGTACAGGGTGTGTTCCAGATTTAATTACTAAGTAGGCGATCCAAGAGCCAATCCTAGCTGTTAATACATTAGCATAGATCCTCCAGGGTGATTTTCAGAAAGACTCCGGCAGAGGCTATGTTATGGTACAGACCAATATTTGGCATGACCCAGCTCCTATTACCCAGACCTCTCACTACCATTTCTCAGATCATTGTTCTCAGGTCTGCTGAGAGCTGTATTTCAGGAGGCAAAATTAACACTGCTGCAATTCCCAAAACCTCCAACCAGATCTTCTCTCCTGTGATGCCAACAAGCATTCATAAATTCTGGCCCAAGTTCTGCTCAAATCTATGGAGGGAGTTGCCTCAGTGCAACCAGCAGGCTGACATGTAACTCCCAGTACTTCAGCAGAATACTGATCTTTCTCATTCAACCTTTGGACTGGTTTGAAATAATTCAATGCTTGGTTAGAGCTTGCTCCCAAGACAATATCACCATATATCATTTCAGTCATTGCCTCAGTTATCTCCACTACTAAATAAAACTAATAAGATCCAGTTCCCATGGGGCATCACCTTGAAATAAATGTTTGTGTGCATGTGTGTGTGTGTGTGTGCATTTCTCTCTCTCCCTCTCTCCTTCCTCTTCAGTCAGAAAGCATTCAAGAGCAGCTTTCATGTTAATATGTCTGCTACAGCCAAAGCTATGTCAGCAGGAAGATTCCAGAGGTTTCCATTGCCTTCCTTAAATAGATTAGTTTTCAGCATTCGACAACTATAGAGCAAGACCTATTTGTTCTAAAAAAAAAAACAAGTTTCCGTTTCTATTGTCAGTGCAATACAAGAGATACCAGAGTTTTGGATTAAATTAATTCAATTGTTATGAGACAGCTTCGTTGTTTGGAGAATTTTTCTATGTATCAAAATGTCCCTCCCTTTTATTACTGTATTGTTATACTTATAATTTTGTCACTGTGTTGATTCTTTAATGTGATTTTATGCATCTGAATTTCATTAATTTGCTAATTTAAACAATTATGAGTTTCTTTGCATACCTGTTTTGTTCACTTGTTCTTTAAATATTTAAAACATGTTAATGAAGAATTAACATTAAAATTCAGATATGACATACTTTCAGACATTATTACTTTATTTTGAAATTTAAATACTAACTTTTGGGACTGCTGTTAATTCCTCAGCAATTTAATTTTCTACAGGAATGGAAACTATGAAAAAAATCACAAAAATGCTAGTAAGAAAGGTTAGGAAGGAGCAAATGCAAACGAAAGAGAAAAAGAAAAAAAAAATGTACATTTAACTGGAAGTAAAAAAAATGCCCAGTCAAGTCACCCATGCATTGTATTATTTATGTCTCATCTTACCAAGAAAGTAATGCCTGATCTAATAAAGGACAATTTTTCATATAAATAAGTCTTCAGTGTGAATTCCTAACATCCCTGAAAATGCATTCCAAGATATCTGTGCCATAGATTCCAGCAAATTAGCTGTATGTAGTTAACAACTCCTAACTAGAAATGATTGTAGACAGTTATATAATCCAATATAGGCCTACCGGAAGCAAAGTCCACTGAATCTAGTGGAATATCTGTCTAGTTGACTTTTCCCCCCATCTCAGTTTTTTCTAAAGAACTATTGTAAAGAAAATAACAGACCGAGATTTCTCTTCTGTTGGTTGGATCAGTCTGTTCAGTCCAGAGAGTACACTATTCTGAATAATGTTTCATTCTTTGCTTTTATAATGTATAACAGCCATTATCAGAGAGGCCTTAGAAGAGGGATCCCTAACCCCTGTTCCCTAGACCGGCACTGCCCACGGCATGCCAGAAACCGATCTGCGCAAACAAGTGAAGCCCCATTCGCAGGATGCAGGCGGCCTGTGAAACCACACCCCCTCCAGTTCACGGAAAAACCTCTCTCCATGGAACCGATCCTTGGTGCCCAAAAGGTTGGGGGCCGCTGCCTTAGAAAATGGCATTTCCAACATTTTAAATATATAATTATGACTAATATTCCAGTCCTTAGTCCCCATCATGATGGCAAGCTATTATTTCTAGAAGAGATACTCCAATCCATCTGAAAGGCACTAGATTGCAGAAGGTTACACTATTCTCTCCCCTTTTCTATAGAACACAGTTCCATGTTAGAGATTACTTGAGAAGCTTCCCCATTCTGTCAAAAGTTACTGTTCCAAAATAAATTTAATGTCATTTTTAGAGATGCACAGATACAAATATATACAGCTGAATTAGAATTTTATAACTCTAACAGACAGGCTTAAGACACATTTCAGAATTGCTGAAATGTTGCTTTATTCACTTGTTAGGTAGAGTGGGAGTCAAACTTCATCTTCTTTTTGTACCTCCAAAACCTAAGAAAAAGAGATGGAGAAACAGAAAAAAGCTATTATTAATCAATAGCGAATTCTAAAATAATCTGAATAATGAAATAATAAAGGAGATAAATGCATTCAGCTCTGTGAGCTAGTTTACAAAAAACTAGCTCACAGGAAGGAAGAGGCACAGCAAATCAGATAGAGCCTTTATTTCTCTATGGCAGTGGTTCTCAATCTTTTTAATGCCGCGACCCCCCAACCGGTCGTAAGTCGAGGACTACTCAACCAGTCGTAAATCGAGGACTACTCAACTGGTGCAGCACCATTTGCAGAATGGGACTTTTGGCAGGCTCAGCAGGGCAGAGACAGCCTGGACAATTCCTATTGGCTTTTGAAAGCCAATAGAATTAGACTCTGTTCAAGAGAGTCTATTCTATTGGCTTTCAAAAGCCAATAGAATAAAAGGGAGTAGCATAGCTAAGGAAAAGGGGGGGGGGGAAATGGCGGACTGCGTTGTTTGGCGACCCCCATGAAACGGTCGTTCGACCCCAAATGGGGTCCCGACCCACAGGTTGAGAACCACTGCTCTATGGTAAGGTTTGATAGCCTGCTTATGCATTAAGGAATGTAATATAATTTTACAAGATGGCACAAGTGCTCAATCCCTCAATTAAATGACTGAAATAAGAGACTGCTAAATCTTGCAAGATTTCAGCACTCTAGCCCCAAATCTTTGAAGGTCTCAAGTGAGAATATTTGTGTATTTTTATCTGCGGGGAAATAGGTTATTCTTGCTTTATTAAGATGGAGTGGGTGCATTGCTAATCTCTCCTTTATACTATGCAACCTGAAGATTCTGCTGCTGTTTTAGAACACAATATAGCTCATCAGATCATCCAGACCCTAATTCTATTTAGCATTAATGGAAATACATCTTTTGTTTTAGTGTTATTATCTAGGAAATGACACAGTGATTAAAATAAAATGTCTTGCATTGTAATTTATATAAGAGTGCAATCCTACATATGTCTACTCAAAGCATACAAATAGGTGGAGGAGAATACGACTGCAGTCTCAGAGACAGAAATATATGAGTCCTGCCAAAAATATAATCAACACCTTCACTAGTTTGTCAGACAACCCACCCCCTTCACTTTCCCACTAGCTGAATTCTTGGGTTTGACTATAATGCCAGGTGGTAGAATTCCATTAGGAATTATCTGCCACTACAGGTAGTCCTCAACTTACAACCATTCATTTAGTGACTGTATGAAGTTATGACATTAAAAAAATGACTTATGACCATTTTTCACATTTTTGACCATTGAAGCATTCCCAATGGGCCATGTCATCAAAATTTGGGCGCTTGGTAGCTGGCATGTATTTATGGGGGGTCATGTGATCGTCATTTGTAACCTTCCCAAGTGGCTTCTGACGAGCAAAGTCAATGGGGGAAGCCAGATTATCTTAACAATTGCAGTGATTTGCTTAACAACTGTGGCAAAAAGGTCATAAAATATGGCACAACTCATTTAACAACTGTCTTGCTTAGCAATGGAAATTCTGAGGTCAGTTGTGGTTGTAAGTGAGGACTTTTTTACATGGGGAGATGCTCAAATCTGAAATCTGGATGAGGCAGAATATGAAATCCCTCTAAGTTTTAAATGAATGGTTGCAGAATAAACAAATGCAGACCTAAGCATTTGTTTATTTACCAAATTTGTAAGCCGATCCAATCTGCATGATTCTGGGGGAGGTTAAAAGATACAGTATAATAGTAGGAAATATAAAAATGTAGAATATATAATCTATTAAAGAAAAGTCCAGAGAAAATAAACAATCAATTAAACAACTGAAAATATTTCACAAGGATTCTAATACATATTCTAACCTAAGGCCTGGAGACAGAACCAGATTTTTAGGAATCATTAAAACTCTGCTGGGGGTGTGCCATAAAAAACCTGCACGCGATACAGTAGGTGGTGATACATTACAAACTGAACACAGGAGTAATAAATACTTTTATTTCAATAAAAGCAAAAAATAGGAATAATTTAACTGCAGCAATTACAGAAATGTGAGATCTGCATTTCAAAAGTAACATTCAATAATCTGTAAATAGTCTAACCCAGGGGTAGACAACCTTGGCTCTTTTATGACTCGTGGACTTCAACTCCCAGAATTCCTGAACCAGCCATGCTGAGGAGAAAGGGAGAAGTTTCCAAGCTGAGTCATGCTGCCTCAGGAATTCTGGGAGTTGAAATCCACGAGTCATGAAGGGACCAAAGTTTCCCCCATGCTGGCTCAGGAATTCTGGGAGTTGAAATCCACGAGTCATGAAGGGACCAAAGTTTCCCCCATGCTGGCTCAGGAATTCTGGGAGTTGGTCCACGAGTCATAAAAGAGCCAAGGTTGCCTACCCCTGGTCTAACCAAACAAGAAAAACAGAGGATCGAAGCAAATACAAAACTGGAGAAATTGAGGAAACTGCACTAAACAGAAATAAATTTAGACCTCCATATGATGAAACTTTGCCTGCCAACATTTATGTTACTAGAATTTTCTAAGTTTATGCTTGAATCCTAAAACTAGTTGCATAAAATCCTTTTTCTTCAGATAACTGTTCCTCTGAGAACAAAATAAATTCCTAGGCTTGTCTGCCCTTGAATCTTATCCTCTTCGTTCTTACTGGGAGAAACAGTGATAGAGAATTAGCTGGCAGAGCACTCAAAAGTAAGACCCTCCAATTATGAATTTTTTACCAGCCACTCAAAATTGTTAAGTCCTACTAATATACCCCAAGCTGCCTAAAATTTTGCACTGGGAAATTTGAGTATTATATACTGGATCCTATGTCCAAGATCCAATCACAAAAGTCAATTTTCAAGCAATCACTGCTTGTCTGAGATGACTACTTAATGAACTAAGTTCCGTACTCTAACTAGGAGTTCCTAAAAGTTTTGCCATCACATCTACTTTGTGTATTCTTAATGTACATACCTCCTCTAAAAATTCAAACACTACAATGAACACAAATGAACAATGAAAAGAATATTATGAAACTTTGGGAAAGATGTTTTAGTGAACAATGTACAATTAAAAGCTTATATGCAGTTCCCTTGGACTCTGTCTGCACATCCACAAGGGAAATAGCCCTCACAGTTTGGAAAACCCTGGTCTACAGGATGATTTGTGTATATGTGCAAATCTACTTCTGAGATATCAAAGAAGCAGTACAGTTAATTCAGAAACCTTTCTGCTGTTAGACTACTTAATTATCACTCAATTATCTACTAATCTCCCTTTTATGACTTTTGGAACATCTGTTACAATTCAACACAACCTAAAAAAATTTAGCAACAAAAAAGAAACGCAAAACAGACCATAGTAATGGCAGAGTTTCATCAGAAGAAAGTCATTGTTAACCAATTTTCTTAACAATTAACTAAATATAGGATACTTTTTGAAACTGATATTGTACTCCAGCTGTACTCCATACATCTATATATATGGGGATGAATTATATATTCATATAATGATGTACTAAATCCTGTTTTGTACTTTATTTCCATTTCAAAACAAAGAAAAGATTTACAGATCAGATGTAGATCCCCTATCATAATGAGAACTAGATATAAGTCTGATTGAAAACAGTGGGGAAAGTTTATTTATTTATTAAATTTATATGCCACCTGTGTAATTATCTAGAGTAACTCTGTGCAGCTTACAATGGCATAAAAGCATTAAAACAATTAAGTAAAAGATTAAAAAACAAAATTTGCTATATTAATCCAAATCCAACTCTTTTCAATGGGATTTTTTAAATTGGAAAGTTATTGATATCAGGCATTGTTAACCCAAAAATCAAGGACAACATGGATTATATATAACTTACCAGAGGTGGGTTTTGTTTCTGAACTATAAGATGTTGAACAGCTATTTGAATTACCCAATGAACCAGTAAATGGTGGTGGAGCAGATGGACCAGCCCATGTGCTGTAATAAGGAGAATGCCTGTGATCTAAAGGTGACCTAGAAGAAAATGATTCTGCTAATTAATTTGTCTTTTTGGAAGTGTACAAAATTAAAATTTTAATATATGAATAATCTAGAATAGAACTAGGCCATTAAAGGCAAAGTTGCTCTTTAGCAATCAGCAAGTAAACATAGAATATGTAAACCAATATGTAAACAATTGGAATATATTCAATTATTCCAACAAACTGAGATATCTCTTCAGTATTATTTTAGTTCTATTACTATTTAAAAAGGAATATTTCCAAGAAACATACTGATTTACCATTAAGGTATGTATTGATATCAGGAAAAACTTAACAAGATTTCACATTAAAAAATATGATCAGAACTCATACAAATTCAGTACAAAAATCATACAAGCTGCATAATACATGCAAAAGGCTAAAAAAAACTTTTTAAAAAGTCCACTAAAAATAACAGCATTACTCCAGTGATTTTGGAAGGATATACAGAAGAATTATCAGTGAAAAACTGAGGGGGGGTGGAATTAGAGACAGACAACTTTGAAAGTAAGTAATAAAAGCAAAATTCAATGTGGAAAAGACATAGTTAATAGGAAAGACAAGATCATATTTGTACACAGAAATTTGGGAGACAACAAATGTACAATAAAGAGAAGTAAGAATCTATTTAATAGCATCAAAATAACCAAACTGAGCCTTTAATTCTTATATTTATCAAAATACTAATACCGTACTTTTTTTCATTATAACCATTGTTATTAAAAGAAAGACAAACAAACAAGGATTTAGAAAAACAGGTACTACTGAAGTAGTCGCCTTAAAATTGACAACTGTTTATATCTTTGTTCTCTGGAAACTGCAGCTTGTATTTTTAACAGCACTGCAGGAGTTTCTTCCCTAATGATGCAATATTAAGCAACTACAGGGCATAAGGGACAGTGTAATGCATGAGTCAATGATAGCTATTTTCTTTATTTTACAAGTCAATCCATTTATCACCATTTACTGCTGGGTTCTGAATTCTGTGTATTCTGATAAACAACCTACTTCTTCAGTGTTTCTCAATTATTCTAAAAAAAATCCTAGAGATACCTACCAATTGGACAACTATTAAAAAACTTTAATAGGCAAAAAATTCTTATCCTAAAATAAGGGTTCTGCAGACAGCTAGGTCACCAGCCCATCTTTGTATCTGGTGCTACTCATCATTGCTGATTGCAAGTAGTAATGAATAGGATAACTATTTCTCAAAACATTCATAATCTATTGTTATTTTAAAGATCAACCTGTAAACAAAACATTCCATGTGGACAACTGATAGTATATTACTAGTATGAAAGAAAAAAATATTTTCCTTTGGGAGAAGCAATTTCTTTTCTGTCAGATAGGATTGTTGCAAGAGAAGACAAGATTACCTTCGGTTGCCAATCAAATATCCAAGAAGTCCTCCGGCACCTAATCCAGTCCAGAAACCTGGCCTTGAATTGGAATCATAGTTGGACCCACTAGCAGCTCCTTAATTTAAATAAAATTATATAGATTTGTAATCAAATAATCTTTGTGATCAAAGCTCTTTTATAATTAAAATATATATATAAATAGGCTACCTCAGCAGATAATTGAAGAGTCTTACAAGCTCTCCAAAGTTTTAAATCAAACATTGATGTATAACCCTATGGAACTATTGATTTTACTGGAGAAACAGACTATAGGCTGTCACTTTTTATCTCCTTATTTTCTAAAAGGGCAGGTATATTTCCCAGACTTTCGACTAAAGGATCAACTCAGAAATACAAGGAGTTCTCATTTTAACTGTACCTGAAATGTCTACCAACTATATAAACAAGAGCATTTATTTATTTATTAATAAAATTTATATGCCGCCCAATTCCTAGGGACTCAGGGCGGCGTACAAAATTAAAACAATAAATATAACAATAAAAATGAGTACATTTACACAGCATGTCCCAATCGTATCCCGCCCCCTCCCGGGGACATCAACCCCAGGCCTGCCGGAACAGGAGAGTTTTAATGGCTTTCTTGAAGGCCAGCAAGGTGGGAGTAGTTCGAATCTCGGGGGGAAGTTGATTCCACCAGGTCGGAGCCACCACAGAAAAGGCCCTTCCCCGAGGACCCGCCAGCCGACATTGTCTGGCCGACGGGACCCGAAGGAGGCCCAATCTGTAGGACCTCACCGGTCTCTGGGAACTATGCGGCAGTATGCGGTCCTGTAAGTAACCTGGTCCTAAGCCATGAAGGGCTTTAAAGGTGACAACCAACACCTTGAATTGCGTCTGGAGACCCACAGGAAGCCAGTGCAGCTCGCGGAGGATAGGTGACACGTGGGTGTACTTTAGTGCACCCACAATCGCTCTCGCGGCTGCATTCTGAACCAATTGCAGCCTCTGAACGCTCTTCATGGGTAACCCCATGTAGAGCGCATTACAGTAATCCAGTCTTGAGGTGACAAGGGCATGAGTAACTATGAGTAGAGCCTCCCGGTCCAAATAAGGCCGCAACTGGTACACCAGGCAAACCTGGGCAAAGGTCCCCCTGGCCACAGCCGATAGATGTTGTTCCAAATTTAGCTGTGAGTCCAGGAGGACACCCAAGTTGCATGCCTGTACTGAGGGAGGTAAATTTACCCCCCCCAGGACTAATGATGGACCATCAGAATGACCCTTGGGGGGCAAGACCCAGAGCCACTTGGTCTTGTCAGGGTTGAGTCGAAGCCTGTTCACCTCCATCCAGACCCTCACATCTTCCAGGCATTGGCACATCACGTCGACTGCTTCACTGAAAGGACACGGGGTGGAGATATATAATTGGGTATCATCAGTGACCCCATTAATAATGATAATTAACAATGAATGAACCTCCTAGAGTTTGAAAAGTAGATTACTTATCAATGTTACTAATAAATGTTTTTGTTGTGATGTAAGAGATTTACCTGTGTAATTTGATTTAAATCCTGGTGAAGGTGGGCTTTGATAACTTTGCCCGTAGGATCCTGAATGTACATCATCATTAGGGAAATTATGTTGTCGGTTATCACAGAGGAATAGCTTGTAGATGCCAAAAACAAAAACAACAAATAATATTACCAGGATCAATCCAAATCCAGAACCAACTGAATCTTGAGAAGGTGCAGAATAATAGGTCCCAGAAAAAGTGTTAGCCTTTTGCTGTCCTTCTTTAGTTAACTCTAATGTGTATTCCAAGCCACACGATCCTTTTAAAATGAAAGGGTCATCTGGATAATCGTAGCCTTCACAGCTTACTTCAATTTTTCCAAAGCGATATGAAACATCCAAATGTGCTTTACATTCCCACTGAAAATAAAAGAGAATTATTTTTCTACAATAAAATACATAACAAAATTGAACATTGACTTAAACTTGATATATTATTTTTAGTAATTTTATTAAAATACAATGCGATCTTTTTTTCTAAAAAGTTCTAATTAAAGCCTCATAAGTAAGCTTTAAAACTCTAACAGAGCTTGAAAGAATGCACATGAAAATACTGCCAGACAAGAATGCTAACTGACAAACTTGTTAAAGTTGTTTTGAAGGAATATGGATTTATTTTAACTACGTTACTTTTTCTCCTGTTGGCAATCCTGCAGCCCCATTTTTCATTGTTAACTCATTGCATCTTCCTGGAGTCAGTTTTGGCTTGATTATATATATATATAATATATATATATATATAAATTTCTTCTTCTCTTTTTAAAAGCCAGCCATTTAGTCAATTTTACATTTATACAAAAATTTTCCACAAGATAATAAATTTTTCTTCATATGAAGAAACATACCTGCACATCATAACCATCCCAGCCTTTGTTGTAACACTGAACAACCTCAGGGGTATATGCTGTACATCCAGCTGAGCCTCCGGTACATTGCAACTGGGGCACTGGAGATGTCCTCCGATAATTTGTGTGCTTGCCCTTATAGAGTGTCAGGGCTTGGACCTCCCTCAATAGGACTCTCTCTGATAGAATATAAGTATTATGTAGTTATTAGAATATTATATTATGTAGTAGATTAAGAAACACTAATCAAGATAATGAATACATATTTTAGGATTTTGTGAATTTATTAGTGCCAATAAAGTTCTCAGAATAATTCCTGTTAGGTGGTATATTTTGATTATTTACAAATAGTAATCTCAAAAGTTGCTTTAATAAAAAATATATCTAAGATTAAAGTTAACATCTGTGCTCTGTAATTAATATTGCTTTTTTTGTTCACCAATTATCCTATTTTATCAAGTATTCAACCACAAGTTTTCAGAACTTCACAAGCAATACATAGGTGCCTCTCCCTAATTGTTCAGTATATAATATTCAAGAATTGGTGAACAAAAAGCTTCAATTTGCTCCATAATGTCCTATGCAATTACTTAGGAAAACAGCCCAATGATGACTGGATTCCAACAAATCACCGTTTTACAAATTAAACCACAAGAGCAGTATTGGGGAAAACCCTAAATCATTCTTTACACATCCCAATGACTATATTTACACAACAGAGTAAAAATAAAAACAAAAAACCAGACACTAGTTAATCAACATGCCCTGCAATGGTGGCCTTAAATATTTAATTCTGTTAAAAACATGTAGCAGTGGGGGCGTTTATGGATTCATGTGACATCTAAACCCAATCGGTGTCTTCGAAGAAATCTGCAGGTTTGGTTACTAGTGTCAATTATTACAAATGGCTTCTAAAATGTCTTCCTAGTAAGGCCGGCGCCCATTAGTATATCGCACTTTCCCCATAAAAAGCTGGCCCGAGGACCAAGAAATGGCCCTCACTCCTCCAGAAAGATGCTATTTCAGGACTGAAACCCCTCTGAACCAGACACGAGCGTCAAGTCACTGACGCCGATAGCAACGATTCCTCCCCGACCGTCGTGAACCGAGAGAGGCAGGCTTCCTAAAGCGGTTCGCCCGGTGAGCCCATCCCTCGCCTTACCCTGCTGTTGCCAGCCCATCGCGACATACGTTCCCGTCAGCACCACCAACAGCGGCAAAAGCAGCCGCGCCCGAGACGCCTCCATTTTAGCCCTTTCACTGAGAAACGAAGAGCCTCAGCTCCAGCCTTTTTCGCCTATGGCAATGGGTCTCGTGGCTCCGCCTTCGGCGACGCTGATTGGCTCTTCGGGTTGCCTTTCTAACCCGGCAGCGCCATCTCGAGACAAGCAGGCTTCGTTCCGCGCTAGAGTTACTGAGCGGAAGGAAATCTTATCAGGACAATGGAACGGTAGGAAAGCCTTGCTGTCAACTAGCCATCCTATTGGCTCACAGGCGCCGCCCAGGAAAGTCAGTATAACATAAAATCTATGTACGCTCAGAACAACCAATGGAGTTGTTGATGGATGTTTACAATCGGTTTGTCTTCTTCCGGTGAGTCATCGGCAGCGAAGAATGACTTTACTTTAAAGCAGACATGTCAAACATAAGGCCCGGGGCCGGATGTGGCCCGCCCGGGGGCCTGATGTGGCAAAGTGGTTTCATGTGGCCTGCAAAGCCATCCTGGAAACAGTGAGGGAATGGCCTCCTCTGCCTTGGCCCTGGCCCAGGCCAGCCAGGAGCCAATGTACAATTTTGTGGCGGCCATTTATGCTGAAACGCATTCAGTCTTAGCTCCATAAGCCGCCCCCCCCCCCCTGCATGGCCTGAGAAGAACAGTGAGGCTTCTCCAGTGGACCATGCCTTGGCACTTGCTCTGGTCCTACCCTTTTCTGCCAGAGACCCTTAGATCTATCCCGCTCCTGCCCAGGCCCCCACAGGCACCCTTAATGCGAATGATGTAGAGCTGGCTACACCCACTCAGTAGGCCACACCCATCTACACCCACCCAGTAGGCTGTACCTACCCTGGCCACACCCACCTGGCCCCCTGAGGGCAACCGCAATGCTGATGCGGCCCTCAATGAAATTGAGTTTGACACCTGCTTTAAAGAGTATTGTTGTACACCGCTCAGAGTCACTTCTGTTGAGATGGGCGGCTGTATAAATTTGATAAACAAATAAATCTGTATTGCACTTCTGAATACAAGCTTGTTTTTCTAATAGAGTATCTGACTTATTCTCTGAACACAAACAAGAAAATTTTGCAACTTATTAAATTACAAATGCCTCGTGGCAGGACAATTAGCCAGAACCAAGGGTACGATTTCGAGACAGGTTGCCATGTTAAGATTGCTAAATGATTAGGGGAAATTGGTTCTGTGTTTAACAGTCGCTTGATTATAATTTGTTGAATGAATGAAATCTATATATTTTGAAATGCTTCGTATTGAGGAACAAATTACTTCTGAATAAAAGTAATTTTAAATCGTATTCCTTATTTATTTTGCAATCTTTATAACCCACTCCAATGTCTGACCAGAATACAAAAAAATGCAAAGACAAAACCAAAATACACTGTAAACAACTAATTATAATTAAAAGCCATTAGTGAACACCATTGTTGCCCTTAAGATTAAAGCTAGGACTAAATTGCATCAGATTATTGCTGTTATTAATCTGAGATATGTATATTCATTTGTAGCTATTGTAAGGATAATTGAGCTTTTTGGACTTGGGGAAAAAAATAAAGATCTTTCTAGTTTTTTCATACAAATGCAGGTCCACTTATCATCCAAGTCTGATGTCATAAGTTGAAAGAAAGTGATAGTCAGCTTTCATGAGTAACAAGGTGGGACTAGAACTCAAAGTCACCTGGTTTTTAGCCTGGTGCCTTGACCACTAGGCCAAACTGACTGAAAACTGGGATAATCGTTAGATGAAATCAACAAGTTAGGATTTTCTCAATTTCTTTGCTGACATCTAGTTATCTGTATGTTTCTATCCCAGACTTCATACCCCTAGTAAAATTTTTGAAACTTTATATCGTAAGAACTGTGTTTACCTAAAAATAAAAGGTGCGTAAGTTTGCAAAATAGCATTTTAATCAGGTTTGCTGCTTGATGTGTCCTTTGAAGCTGAAATGGAAACTATCTGGAATAAAATGACAGTTATCCAAGCTTTTTAGTTTGTTTCATGCAAACTCTGCTATTATGACTTGAAATAGTTATTGTAAGCAGAAAATTCAGTTCACATAAGAGGGAACTGATTCTTTACATGCAAAGTTTTAAGGCTTCACAGAAGATGTTATACGGTTGGGTTTGAAGTTTTTAAAAATAAACAACTATATCTTCATTGTTTATTTTACTCTAAATTATTATACCATTTATATGCTGATTTCTTTTACAAAGTAAGAATTTGGGATTATCCTTAGAAACTAAATGAAGAGAAATTTAGGGCTGATAAATGATCTTTATATAATAATAAGGCTAAATGATGGAATTTGTTGCTATCAATTGTTACCATCACCAGTTTGGATGGATTTCAAAGGGAACCAAACATATTAATGGAAGATTGTAATATTTATTTTTAACCCTACCTTTAGTTTAATCAACTTAAGGCGCAGCATATATACCTAATGTTCCTGCCTTTTATGTTTTGCAGAATAGCCACCCCCCTGTGAAGTGGGCTGAGCTAAGAGACTGCCTCAAATACACTATATACCCATGACAATTAGTTACTAAAATGTTCACTGCTTGGGAGCATCCATGTAAGACAAGTATTACTTGTGAGCTTCCTGAATGCATCTGGCCATGCTTTGTGTGACACAGAATGGTAGAGTAGATGGATTATAGGACTGATGGAGAACCTTTTAGAGACCGAGTGCCCAAACTGCAACCCAAACCCCACTTATAGATCGTTGGGTGCCGGGTAAGCGTGGCTCATTGGATGGGTGTGGCCAGTTGGATGGGCATGGCCCATTGGGTGGGAGTGGCTGCCGTGGTAACAGCAGACTGGGTGCGACTAAAAAGTTCAATCAATCAATTCCAACTTTGCGAGATCTTTTTTTTCCTGTGAAAAGTTGAAATTGATTGATTGAATCTTTTTTTTTTTTTGCACACGGCGGTGGAGGACTAAAACGAAAAGGTTTTATAAAACCCAGCTGAAGGACTAGGACTGGGGTGACGGCATGTGTGCCCACAGAGAGGGCTCTGCGTGCTACCTGTGGCACGTGTGCCATAGGTTCACCACCACGGGATTATAGAGTTCTTATATTACATTTTATTTTTTCAAAGTTCCTTTAGTCACAATAATTTTCAGTATTTTACTATTTCAAGTAGTTCATTTACATAACATTGATAACAATTTCTCAAAACAAATCTTAATATTTTGTTAGCAATTATTTCTGAACATACATTACAAAACTTAAATCAGTGGCCCCCAACCTTTTGGGTAGCAGAGACTGCTTCAGTAGAAAGAGGTTTTTCTGTGGACTGGATGGGGCGTGGTTTCACGTGCAGCCTGCATCCCACAGATGGGGCTTCGCTTGTTTGCATGACCCAGGTTCTGGCATGCCATGGAAAGGTGTTGGTCCACGGACCAGGGATTGGGGACCCAATTTAGATAATTGATTAAAGTATGAAAATTATTTCTGCATAATGCATCTGTATAACTCCTCAAATGTGCTTTTTAGACCAATTAGAATCAGTAGTAAAAAAAGAATAAGTATTCTAAATAAATGCTGAATCTGGAACTTTCTAGATAAAATAAGTATGTATACTTATACAATTAATTAGGCTTTCAGAACAGACAAGTCATTTTTGTGGCATAATAAAAATACTAGGTTGGGAAGATTAACAGAAGTAATTATGAAGGTAATTCTGGTGTCATCTTATGTCTGCAAGATTAAGTTGGTGCATCTACCATAACTTCTATTTAACAATTATCTTAATTGTGCTAATTCATTGTTTTGTAATAAAAAAAAGCAGAAAAAAACCCTTTAACCATTCAGTCCATGTATAAAACGACTGCAACTATATAGGTACATTAATATATATTAATGAAATCCCTCTTACAGTCCAACAATAATTTATAAACTTTCCACAACTATTTTTGGAAATTTTGTCTAATAACCTCAGGTCCTAAAGGACTTTGAAAAGACAAGAGTTGAAAAAAGCCAGAAGAAAATGAAGCAGAGTCTATAGAGTCAAGTTTCAGTAAAGTTTAAAGACCGAATTAACTTTATATTGAAATCAAAAGGCTTTAATGTTAACAAAGGTGGAAAGAAAGATAAGATCACAAGCAGTGAAATGGATGGATTCTATTACAGTGTCAATGAATAATCTTTTGGAAGACTTGAAAGAACAAGTTGGAGACACATCGTCATGAACAAAATTTATCTGGTCACTACTAGTTGTAAACGACTTGATGTTACGTAATCAAACAATGGGTCTTCCTTCTTTTTTTAGCTTTTCTTTCCTCCCCACGTTTCGTTTTAATCATAGTAAAGTCTGTAGCAGGGGTCTTCAAACTTGGCTTTTGTGACTTGTGGACTTCAACTCCCAGAATTCCTCAGCCAGGCACGCTGGCTGAGGAATTCTGGGAGTTGAAGTCCATAAGTCACAAAAAGACCCCTGGTCTGTAGGTTCTTATTGTATTATCAACTTCTGTTGCCGAGTGGAGACAGCAGCAACTAGTCCCGTCCGTTATTGTCCCAAGATTTTTCTTCTGTTTCTTCTGTTTCTCCCTGGGAAGGAAAACAGGGTACACACACGCGAAGCTTTGCCTTATGTTCCAAAGGTACGTCCGCCGTTTCAGAGATCGCGATTCGTCGGAAGTCTTGCCTATGGCTAGAGCGCGCACTTCCGGGGCTTGTCTAGCCGCCTTCCTTCCCCGTGGTGTTGGTTGGGAGCGGCCTGGGCGACAGTAATACTGTGGCAGCACCATGGCCGGCATCAAAGGTAGCCTTGCTGGCTTGATTTCGGGGAAGGGCCTGGGGAGGATGGAAGCTACTTGGAGAGGGTGGACGGGATCCCCCCCCCCAGATCAGGCCGTTGGTGGAGGGGAGGGACGCCGCCCCCACCCTGACGATGACGCACGCCGGCAACGGTGTCTGTGGGGGGGGGGGTGCGCTGCGTTTCCATGACAACGCAGCCTGCCCTGGTGCATGACTGCGCGCTGAGGTTGGAAAGTGGGCCTGTGGAGAGCCCCCTATTGTCTCCTTTTCCCTGCTTCTGCCCGGATCAAGCACTCACGCTCGACTCGGCGCTGCTTGGCTAGGCAACCGCCGCAGGGCAGACTTGAAAAACACAGTGAGGCCTGTGCTTTTCACTGGACTCAACTTTCAAGCTATTAGGTCTAGGGTGGCAGCTCTAGATGTCTGTGTTGCAGTTTGAGGCCGGATACGTGATTATTAATCCTTGCATAAAACTTCCGGCTGCAGAGACCTATGAGTGCTAGATAGCGACATATACTAAGGGTCGTCTGGTCTGCCCAAGGCTGATGGGCGGAAATTAGGAAAGGAATGAAATTTTGGGCTCAACCAGACTTCACTAAATTCATGCTGTCCAGCAATATTGCAGTGCAGTCCCCATTTTTCATCTCTCTGAATGTAGATCCTGATGTACTCATTCTTGCAGCATCCTAAGATGAAACTGATTTTTAGTGGGATAAGCCTGGCAGGAAGAGAATACAATCTGATATAGTCCTGTCACACTAGATCAATACAATGTATATTACTATTTGTGAAGTAGACTAATACCAGTACTCTTGCAGAGTTTTTCACTATTCCATTAATAGAAATCTCTCATCTAAAGCACGGTATGAATACGTTTGGACTGCATATCTTTTACAGATAGGTTTGATAGAAGTATCTTCATATTTTGTATTAAAAACAAGATTAAAAAGATGGTACTACTGTACTTCTAATAACTTTTTTTAAAAAGCTATGTATTTTGAACTTCTAGCTTTGTTTGATGTGTTCCAATCAATAACCATATCTATGAATACCAATAGCAGTATTTGTGTGCATTTTATATTTTTATTTTTCATGCATGCATGTAAAAAGGCTGAAATATGTGTCCTAAATAGCAATTTAGGGGAATATTACAAGGAGGACCATAAAAGTGACTTTAGATAAAATGTTGAGATGATGATGATGATGATGATGATGATGATGATGATGAAGAAGAGGAAGAAAGAAGAGGAAGAAAGAAGAAGAAGAAGAAGAAGAAGAAGAAGAAGAAGAAGAAGAAGAAGAAGAAGAAGAAGAAGAAGAAGAAGATGATTGGAGAGTGGATGTGGCAGTAGCTGAACACAGCAGAATAGAAGAGAAAGAACTGGAAAAAAAGCACAAAATACCAAAACTGGCAAATCATAATAAAATGACTGTGGCAAAAGAAAGTAAAATGCCAATAGTAATAGGCACTTTGGATGAAAACTACCAGAGCATCACTTGAACTGTCAGCATTGACAAAATAATCACTGGTCAATTTGAAAGGGCAGCTTTACTTGGAATAGCTTACATCCTGTTATGATATCTTTAACATCATCAGACATCAACATCTGCATATCCCAGGCCCTGGTGAAGTACTTGATAGATGGATAAAAATGCCAAATCCTGTCTAAACACCTGGCTGACTGTGCAACCAACCCTAATATACAGTGTGAACTGCCAGTTCTTTAACTGATATTGGTCTTTATATGCATTGAGTTCTTCCCAAGAACCTAGGATGTTGTAATGTGTCATTCAACATCAGTGAAAAGTTGTTTAAATGTTCCTGTGCTCATGATACTTAATGCAATATCAATTAATACACTACTAAATGTGCTGGTTTTCCTCTTGAAAAACTGTAGCAGTAATACTGTATAACCATAAAACCTAAGGCAACTTGGCAGAAAGGCAAATTTAAAAAAAGAATGGTCAGAAAATCAATTATCAATGGCAATGTCGTATTACAAACCATAAAAATATATAAGCTCTTTTTCATTTTATAGAATGATTACGCATATGAGCATAAATGTAATATAGAAAATTTATATATAATACAATTTATAAAAAATTATAAATATATAAATTAACATATATCTCTAAATGGAGATAAGGGCATTTTACATTAATATGTTTCACTTTTCCTTTAAGTTCATTGGAGTTTCTCTTTTTCCTACAATTAATGTTTATTGAAGCAAAACAGTCACACAGGTTTGTAACTGACGAGGGTTTACATCTGCCTTTACAGCTTTAATCAGCTTGTCTTTTGGAGGAGCTGTTGGATTAATGTTCCTGATGCTTGGTTGTGCCCTTCCAGATTACAGGTATTGTACAGTATTTCCTTTTTTTCCCTTGCAATTTATAAAATTAAGTAAACACAGAACACCTGTGCTGATTTCAGTAAAGGTCTAGCAGCCTGAGAGTGAAAGGAGGCAGTTTTTCCAAGCTAAGAATAGCCATTTTAAGCATTTATGAAATTATTTTGTTTTGTCCTGTTAGCTAGTTTTCAGATCATTATGCCTAAATTATAGTAGCACCTTGGTACTCCTCGTTAATTGCTTCTAGGAGGCATGATGAGTACCAAACAAAATTTTCCCCTAAGGAAAAATGTAGTGAGTCAAAAGGCAGACAACATCGAAAGTTCTAGCTTGTGCATTGAGTACCAAACAAATGATGAGTACCAGGACAAAATGTTCACATCAAAATGCATTGAGTACCAAATTTGATAAGTTTCAAAACAGTTGAGTACCAAGCACCACCGTATTCTTCAATGGGCATGTAACAAGCACATCTTTTCAAGACTTATACAAAAACAGAATTTCAGTCTGTTTTATCATTTTCAGCCTGATTTATAATGATAGGCATTTGGAAGTACAATATTTTATTCCCATTACCTTCAGTTAATCACTTCTACTGGTCTGGCTGGGGGACACTTAAAGGACTATGTTCTGATTAGATTTCAGGCTATCACAATGTATTATACTTGCCTGCCGAAATCTGTCTGTTCAACTTCTTGTTTGCGCTCTCTGCACAGTATTACCTAGGGGTTCTTCACCTATGGAGAACCTATTCCAAAAAGCTTCCACAACTTGATTAACATTATAGGTGAAGAGTCCTCCTGTCCCTAGCCATATTACATACGTCATACTTTGTATTTTGTCTTTGTGTGGTATTTTCAACTGTCGGAAGCAAAAGTATTTTTAAAATCAGACAAAACAAAATAAATGTTAAGTTCCTCTATACACATGCACGGTCAATGGGAAAATGGATAAAATATTTACTTAAGAGTAGTGTGATTTTTGAAGCAAATATAAATGAAAGATATCTATAAAATAAAAACATGCCTTTGTATTTACTTTCAGCAAATATTGGCCACTGTTTGTTTTGTTCTTCTACACCCTCTCTCCAATTCCATACTGCATAGCAAGAAGAGTTGTTGAAGATACAGATGCTACAAGTAATGCTTGCAAGGAACTTGCCATATTTCTTACAACAGGCATTGTTGTCTCAGCATTTGGACTTCCAATTATATTTGCCAGAGCAGAACTGGTTAGTAATGCCTTCTGTTTAGCAGTTTTCCTTTGATGTTTGACACTTGCTTCCAGAATAAGATGCAGAAGTCTGTAGAGATTCAGGTCATAGTTGTCTCTAAGGTATTTTTTTTTCCCCAAAAGACAACTGGACTGTTTTTTTCCTTGAGGAAGACATTTCTTTTGAAAAAAAACACATTTGAGACAAGATGCAGAAGCCTACAAAGCACAAGTTAACAAGATTTTGTCAACATATACAAACTGTCATTAAGAGCTGAAATGTAAAAAACAAACCTCTGAAAGTTCCCCAGATTAACATTTTATAAACCCTTTGGTATATAACATTCAATCAGTGGGTGTTGGGCATCACTTGATAAAAATGGTTTGAGGGTGTTGAAATTCAGAGGATACCAAGTTGTTTGCCTTCCCAATTAAGTAACTAAGTCTAAGTGTTAAATTTTAAAAATGGTTTGCATTAAATAGAACTATTTGTGAAAGGATGGCGTCTTCCCCCATTCACAGAACAATTACACTGTATGTATGCCTGTAATAAGGCAGCTTCTGTATAGAAACATGGTTATGCTTTTGTGTATGTAAAACATTGTCTTTCCTTTCTCCACAGATTAAGTGGGGTGCCTGCGCACTTGTCCTAACAGGAAACACAGTCATATTTGCTACCATCCTAGGGTTTTTCTTGGTTTTCGGCAGCAATGATGATTTCAGCTGGCAACAATGGTGAAAAGAGTTGGAGTGAGAACTATCAACATCTCATGTCATTCAGTGGCCATCCATACTCAAGAAAGAAGGGGCAATAAAGTGAATGTACTGTTTTCACAGAGGGGACTTGGGGTAGGGCACTCGGTAGCCGGTAGCCGCTTTTCTTCTCTTTTCACAAACAACATTAACATTTGGCTTGATTTAAATATTTTTAATAGGTTGATGCGGTTTTATTTTAATACTTTATTTTGATGTGAGAACAGAATGCTTAAAATATGTTTAAAAGGTATCTTTTTTAAAGAGCCTGATAGCGGTAGTTAAATATAAAGTTGAATTTTTCACTATTGATTATTTTAAAACGAATGTGCAGTTATGACACCAAGTAATAAAGTAAAAACCAAGAATGGCACAATCCTGTCAAAAGTATGAGGCTTTTGACTGGGTCGTAGGCACAGGTTTGGAAGTAGCTCCCGAATTCCATAAAGATTATGGTTATGGAGAGAATTGTGCATACGGCCTGTTGATTTTAATCAGAGAATTAAGCATGCGTTCGGTACTCTAATTCTTTTCTGAAAATAAGTTAAGATTCTGGAAAGCTGAATTGTGCCCTTCAAGAGCAGTTATGCATTTTGTTGTGGAATTTTGGAGAAAAGCTGAAATGAAAAGTATTCAGCAGCTGGCTGGTAGGTGTTTTTATTATTATGTATGAGGCTGAAAGTGTTCCATTTCCATTAATCCCGTTTAAATGAGTATGAGAAAATTTTTGATGATAATGGGATATCTAAGTGTTCATTGCTTTAAAAGTTTGTCCAGCATACAAATATTTTGAGAGTTTTTATTTTTGATTATCTGAAAGGGGGAGGGAGATGGAATTTTAATTTTTCTTGTGGGAGTAGAAGACGGGACTTTAATCTTCATTTTTAAAGTCTTTTCTGAAAACTGTGTTTATGTATTGCGTGGGTCAACATTCTATATCAATTGTTTTTTTTAAGTTTTACCAAAGGAAAGATTAATGAAACTACTGATTATAGATAACTCAGCAGAAGGAAACCCTGCTCTAGGCATCTGGAAATAAGTGATTCTGCTCCTTTACTATTCACTTGCACCTATTACAACAAAGTATAAAAAGATAATTTCTGCTGCCCCCCCCTTTTTTTACTTTGTATATGGTATAAAAAGGTTTTTCAAATGTAGATTAACATTTCCACTGTAGATAGCCATTTAACTGGAAGACTAATTACTGCATACATATACAGTCAGGGCTTGGCTGCAATTGCAAATCTTTGAATATGAACATTTTATAGTAATTCTGTTGATGTTTTAGTTTATGCACCAATGTATTAAATGTTAGATCAAAACTGCAGTTCTGTTAAAATATAACACATGTAATTTGCAATATTGAATATCTGTTCCATTCCAGTTGGGGTTTTTGTTTCTATTAACCATAAATTACCATGTTTTGTAGATATATTTATTTTGTAGTCATACTTTCCTGGTAACTCCTTCATATGATACCTAAGTGTCTCTGTCTATGCTTGCATATCGTTTTATGCAAACTAGGCAAGATTGATACAGTCACTTAAACATAGTCCCTTTTTTTAAAACAATGCTATTGACATAGTCCTCTCCACTATCAGTCCAGTCCAGAGTGCCTTGTCTCCTCCCTCCTTGGCTGCTCAGTGATACGGTATATGTGTTTCACAGTGTGTCAGATCCATGGTATAGGAGACAGGGGAATGCATGTAAAGGTACTGTGCAAAAGTGTCCAATTACAAATAGTGCTTGGGGCACAGCAGTATTTGGCTTGAAGAAAAAGGAGGGAAGAAGACAATTTGCTGATCTCTTTCTACTGACAGAACTCTGTCCAGGGAAGTAAAGTTGAATCATGGCCTACATGTGCAGACTTCACAAGATAAAATGAATGTTACACAGACTGTAGTAGTTATCAGTGCAGGATTCCCATGCCCCTCTTTTAAAATTGTATGATACAGATTTCAGATAGAAAAGTATCTCTAAAGCCCGATAATTATTACAGTTTTATCTATGTTGAATCTTCAAAATATTTTTTTCTGGAGGGTTAAAAGACAGAAAATGGCCAAGCACGAGTATACTTTGCAAAACCTGCACAATTCTTTACAGCCCAGTCCAACTTTTAAATGTCTGAATCCTAGCAGTCTTAGGAACCAGAAGTGCAACTTCTGCTGCATGATGCTGAGATGGATGCAGTTACATCCCTGAAACTCCTTTGGAAATTCTCTGCACTGCACTGATGGTGGAATAATCTTAGCCATCAAATAGACAGATGTGAACTCATTTTGTGACACCCCCCTCAATCCTGTATTGTACCAAGATGGGTTCTCATTTTCCTGTACTACTATTGCTTTGTGATAATGACAGGCTACTCTTCGAGAGTGCCAGCTCTATTATATTTTATAGTAATGTTTGTCGTCTTAATAAGTTTGGGCAGCATTGTGGCTACAGACATACTGCTGCCTCCAATTATCAGGTGTTAAGATATTTGAGACATATGTTTTTTCCCATGTAATATGCACTGAGAAGCATTGCCATCCTACAGGCAGAAATTTTGATGAAAAAATAATAAACGATTTAAATATCCGATGGTTTTGGATTTTTAATGAGCATCCCTTAGCAATAAGATTTTTTATAAGAAAAAAACTGCTTCATTCTTTAGCAGAAAGGAATTTATTTAAGATTACTATTGGTCTTATATGTGGCTTTTGGCATATATTCTATGCATTTCATTACATGTATATGCAGGTAGTCCTCAAGTTACGAATGTTCACTTAGCAAATGTTCAAAGTTACAACATCTCGGCCAAAAAGTTACATGTGTTGCAACAATACAGTGGTCGTTTGCACTTATGAATGACTGCAGAGACGTTGCAAATGCTACTTTGGTGCCTGAGAGTCCTGAACTGCCCACGTTCGCCTCCTGCACAGCCTTGGGTGCTGCAGCTCTTGTCCCCTTGCTTCCCAAAAGCATTCCTTTGCTAAATTGCAAGAGGGCTCCTAAACAAACCTACTTTCCAGCTCCGTCGTGTTTCTCTGCCGCCATGTGCAGGGAAACAAAAGAAGTTTCTGGAACTAAAAAAAAAGTTGGAAGGTTTTTTTTTTTTTAAGGAGGAGAGCTGCATGTTGGCATGCCAAGCTCTCCAGTTCCGCGGTGGCGCAATTTGTGAAACCTCGGTGGGTTCAGCACTAGCAAGTGGCGGACAGGGCTGCACCCGCTTGTGAAAAAGGCTGAGACTTGGCAGCGAAGGGGAGAGGCTGACCCGGTGCTTCTCCACCTCGCTGGACAAGAGTTCTGGCACTCAAGGCTGTGCAGGAGGTAAGCATGGGAAGTGCGGGGCTCTAAAACGTGGCACCAAAGGTAAATTAGCGGTTGTTGAGGGGGTGGGGAGGAAATCCCAAGGGATGGAAAGAGGAAGCATGGGATCTCTCAGTGGGTGGGGGGAGGCCTTTGGTAGCCGGTCTTGTCCCTGCACTAGCCCCCCCATGGCCTTTCCCACCCTGAGATACCTCGTGTGCACTTAATGACCCGCACATTTGATTAACAAATGCGTGGGCCAAAGCAGGAAGTGATCACATTCAAGTAATGCCATTCACTCCTACGAATTCTCAGGTTGCAAATGTAATTGGCAGGCTCCGTTACATTCGTAACTCGAGGACTACCTGTATAATGCTACATTCAACAATTCAAATTCTACTACCACCGTGGCAAATTAGTCAGAAGGATTTGAAATTGCATTTGTAAAGATCATTAGCATTTAAGTTTAAATTTTTAAAAAACAAAACAAACAGAAAAGTGTAAAACCACTTTGAGGTGTTTTAAGTGGGAACTCTATACAAATGTTTTAAATTAATAAGAAACAAAAAATTGCTGTAATGAGCCATTTAAACCTAATCTAAAAGAGGAAAAGAGGAATCAAATATAATTTATCTCTAAGCTGAACCATGTCCCACTACTTCTTTCGGCAAGACTACTTTCTAAAGTATACAAAGCAGATAAAAAAATGGAGGAAAGAAAAAGCCAACATGCAAACTACCTTGGTAATTTTTAATTTTACTATTTTTATATAATGCTTTTTTCCTTGCTCCAATAAACATGGGGGTCTTGTGTGCTAGAGTATCATATTTCATTCAGTAGTGCAAATTGCTTCTGAAATTTTAAATTGCTCTTGAGATTCCATAGCATTCTTATCAAAAGTATCTCAATGGAAGCTTCCAATTTAGCCATTACTGGATGTATTCTTTTTAAATTACAAATTAACCAAAACACCTATACGAAAGGAGAGCTTCCAGTCTAAAGATGCTGATATGTATTGCAAAATCCAGGTTTCGGAGAAATGGGTTTGACAGAATTTGTAGACTAGGTTACTTTGTAGTGTAATAGTTTGGTACTAGAATTGGGAGGTGGAATTACAGCAATCAATAACACTTCTTTCTTTAAAAAAACAACTGATGTCTGATTGCATGAAGTACATTTGGGAGCACAGATTCTATTAGTTAAATATCCAACTCACTGCCTAATATTCTCCCTAAACGGAGAAAAATAAGGGCTCGCCTTGGATGACCCTAGAGTTTCTGTTTGGCTAAGTACTAATTTCTAGGAATTCAAAATATAGAAGATTTTTGAATGCACTTGGGAACTTGGTCTTGTTGGATGAGAAGCCTCTGACTTACAAAACCAGATTTGTTGCTTGGGTTAACTGGCAGTAATGACATAGAAGGAAAACATATAGTACTAATCTATTGGACTGAACCCAAATTGGAATCCAGTTGTAAATGGACTCCATTGTAATGAATACAAAAAAAATTAACATCAAATGTCCAAAATAATTAAGGGTTGGAATGGTTTACAAAGTGTACTTTATTTGTTCTCTGCCAGTTTTGCAACTAGTGCTCTGCAAAAACATTAGGTTGCAGATTCGAGTTAGGATTGGGGGTTTTGGATGTGTTTTTTGGGAAAATGCAGTGTGGATCTTGCAATTTAGGTAAGAACAAAAGAGATTTAAAGCTGGTGACTGGGTATGCCTGTTTTTCTAATTCCTTTCAGTACATGAAAATGTGATGAACAAATTCTAAAGGGCTGGGAAATTCATTTGGCTTCGTCTATAGTACTATTCCTTTTATTAACACAACATTAGAACACAACTACAAAGATCTACAGTCTTGAATTCAATCAGGTTTATTTTGATATTTCAATGTTGGAGGAATTAAAACTGTACGTGTATATAAAATTTTTGATTTTTTTTTAAAAGATAAAAACGAATACAAAGTAATATAAACTAAGAAAAAATAAAGCGAAAAGTGCAAGGAACAAGTAAAATCAAATAAAGAAAAAGATACAAAGAAGTAACTTCTGATCTTTACAGTAATCCAAGTACAAATTTAGCTCTTGCTCTTTGGTTACAACGTAAGTATAAAAAGCCGTTTTAATCAATTCTATTTGATCTTTCATATTCATATTTTTTGTTAACATCTCCGTCTTCTCTCGTTTACTCTTGAAACCTGCTAATGCACCAATTATGTTAGTTTTCCCATTAATGTTTCAATTCCTTTTAAAGGATCTTCCAGGAGCCAAACTTTCAAAGATAAGTTCTACTGACACTTTCAGAGGTTTACAGATTAGGGTGGCCCTTAAAGGGGGAAAAAAAAAGTGACCAAAACCACAAAAAACTTTCGACGCGGAAGATATCTCAACAGTTAAAAAGCCACCTAGCCGCTGCTGAGCACGCTTGCGCAGTAGAGAAATCGCGACGCACCATAGAGAGCTACACACGACAACAGAGCCTGGATCTAGAATTATTTCCGGTATCAAAGGGGTAAGTTCAGCTGTTTCCTCTGCCTCTAAAGTTCGGTTACTTCTCTACCCCTGTCAAGATGGCGGCGGGCGCGGGGAGCGGAAGTGGCTCCGGCACGGCCGGAGCGGCCTCGATAGCCTCGCTCTGGAGCGAAGTAAATCGCTGCGGCCAGAATGGGGACTTCGGGCGCGCGCTGAAGTCCGTCAATAAAAGTGAGTGTTGCCGCCCTATCGGCGGTTACTCTCTATTCTTTTGAGGCAGAGGAGGGTGAATGTGGACCGGCAACCCTCGGTGGTAGACAATTGCAGCAGCACAAGTGATGATGCACTTAAGTCTTCAATGGAGTTGTTCCAACTTTGTAAGCTAGATTGCTACCTGTCTTTCTCCTGCCGTAGGTAGAACAGCGTCAAAGGAGTAACAGCTGGTCTTGCCTGCGGTGAAATTTAACTCGAGCTTGTTGTTCTGGACTGCTCCGCTTCTCTATTAAAGATAGAATTGTATCTGTTTTCACGCTGATCTCGTCATGAAGAGAAAAAAAACCGCCTCTGAGAATAGGTTGCTGGCTACTTTGTTTTGGCCTTAGACCAGTGTTTCCCAAACTTGACAATTTTAAGGCATGAGGACTTCAACTCCCAGAATTCCACAGCCAGCAACGCTGGCTGTGGAATTCTGGGAGTTGAAGTCCTCATGCCTTAAAATTGTCAAGTTTGGGAAACACTGCCTTAGACGATTAATGTGCCATTTTGCCCCAAAATCTGTGTTTACTTTCTGCAATTCTGTAAAAGTGGTGTGACGGAATGACTCCTACTATTCAAAAACATTCTGTAATCAGGCATAGCCTTTTATGGAGTTACACAAGCTTCCAAAAGCTGTTGCTACTCTTCCACAAAGAGTGCTTCATTTCTGTTAACATGCTTTGCAAAATATCCATGTGTTTTGTATAAACCTATTTTTCTATGTTCAGCTCAAGCTGTGCAACAGGTTTCCTTACATGTCTTTTAGTCACTGCATTAGGAAAATGCTTCCTTTGCTGAATGGCTCCTTTTTATATAGCTTTTAAAAGGGAAAATGGAAAATAACAGCCTTTTATGGAAAATTCATCTGTAATTACAGTACTGTAAGAAGCTAGCCTTTCTTCATAATTGCCCTAAACAGCCATACCTTTTTAATGCTTCCAGGCACAGCTTAACTGTAATTAGGCAAAAGAAAAGTTAACTAATATTTATGATGATCCCATTCCCTAGTAGTATTAGAGTATTATCTGTCTCCTTTATCATACTATGTGAATTTAAAACAGTGGCATTTTAAATTATTTGGATAAAATCAAGATAGATGTGGTTTCAATTACATGCAGGAAAGCCAGTAGTTCAGGAAAGCCAGTAATTATGTTGTTAGTGATTTTTGTCCAAAATAGAAATCTTTCACCAAATAATTTGCTTTCCCAAAATAAAATTGACTGGTACAAGAGCATATATTTTTCAGAATGCTCAGTTTATAAACCCAACTAAGTTTACAAAATCAAAGGTATGAATAGGTAACAGAGGCAAACAGTTTTTTTAGTATATATTCATTCTGTAGCTTAATGCATTGAATTTGCTTCCAGTACTACAAATCAGTAAGGATGATGTGACAGCTTTACACTGCAAAGTGGTATGTCTTATACAAAATGGAAGCTTTAAAGAAGCCTTGAGTGTGATTCATACCCATGTCAAAGTATTAACTAGGTAAGTATTATTAAATATTATTAGACAACATATCTCTGCTATGCTTCCTGATTTTTTTGAAATATGAAA